CTAAGGAATAGATTGTTTCGGGCAGGGCATGGAAGTTTGATCAAGCCTGTAAATAAAACAAATCAGTATATCGGACATAGAAATTTGTTCGCCCCATACCTACGGGAGGAAATGGGATGTTACTTTACCGTATCTTCCCCATACAAAAATAAAGCTCTTGTATTTAGCCGTCTTGATTCTTTTGTGTACAAATATCAACTGTTATTTGCCTTTTCAGAGGCAACTATATTGTAATAATAATTTTAATTCTTTATATACTTTCTGATATTGTTTTAATTAGATTTGATTTGTATTGGATTAAGTTTTAATTGTAAATGCTGTTTCTGAATAAACGTATTCTATTCTATTTCTTAAAAAGACACACAATACAAACTCATCTATATTTCCTGATTATATCTCAAGAGACAGTTCATTCATTCGCAATGTGTGTTTGATACTAATTAGTTGTGAATATTCATTACCAGTGATATATTGAAGGTCCTTTACTTAGTAAAGCTTCTTCTAACTGGCATTTAAAACTAGTGATTTTATTCTTAAGCTAGTTGACGTGGCGACCGTTCTTTTACCATATAAAGAGCTGTGCCCGCGAGTACATCCGTGTGGAATATTTATTTTGGACATCAAAATTTATTTTTAATAATAAGCTCCTCTGCTTTATACGTTCGTGTCCCTTCAAAGACAGACAACGTTCAAACAAAAAACAAACGTTATCTTTACATATTAGTATCTTCTTTATATAGTAAATACAAGAAAGTAAAAACAATAATTCGGTTTTTAATAAAGACCAAAAAGTTGTATGGATGCGGTACTTTGCAGTTTGGACAATTGTATAATTTAAATAAAACACTTTAACGGTTTAAAACGCGATATATTAGTTAAACTTGTTGCATATTTGTTGTGTGACCGAAGTTTTACTATAATTCTATATATTCACTAAATTTCAACTACTCTTCATGTACTACTCGCGTAAACTATAGACAGTATTCAATTGTATAATACGACTTTTTAAAAGATTTATTCACAGTTCAATTTTGGGTTTTATTGAGTGTAATGTTAAAACCTGCCTTTTGGAAATATTGATAGAAGTGTCTTTATCTATACTAATGTATAAAGCTGAAGAGTTTGTTTTTTTGTTTAAATGTTTGAACGCGTTAATCTCAGGAACTACTGACGAATCGACCTGGGCAAAAGGCTTTATTTATAAAGCAAAAAGCGAGAAATGTGAAAAAAATGGGAAATTACTTTGGCTAAAAGGTGCACGGTTCAAAAAACGGTTCAAAATACCCAAAAAATATGTATGCCCAAAATAATGATTCATCTTTAAATGATATAACAAAAAGTCTGTGACGATTTATATCTATCTTTTACGTTAAATTAAGAAGCGGGAAGGGACGCGGCCGAAGTCGCTGGGCAAAAGCTTTAGTTTTAATAAAAGACTTTGCAAAAACGAATTTGGATGGCCAATATAACATTTGAAGGGGGGCGGACACGTTAGTGTCTATATAAATTTGGAATACATTCATAATTTCATAGTCAACATACATATGGTGAGAGAGCACTTGTAAAAAAAAGACGACATCTGAATAAAACAAAATAATGAAATTGATAGCAGTGTACTAGAATAAAAAGGATAACCAGAATCATTATGTACAGTTATGAACGCCTGTAGTCTGTATGGTTGAAAACAAAAGAATCTCTATCCATTTCATCATCGTTTCCGATCGATTTGTCACTGCAATCTGAAACAGAAAAACAATTCCGTTTGCTGTTATCAACGTCTCAAGATCATCTTCACTTGATCTAACCCAAATTGTGACTATGCTTAATTCCATCACTTGATAACGCGACAGATAAGGTCGGGATAATTTTCCTGTCTGACAATCTTATCGTAGATTGCCCAGTTAATGCTTTGGTACTTGATGTCGTTTTGCAGTCAGTATTTTTTCCGGTCTGTTTACATCATCCGCGTGATATCCTTTTTTTTAACGATGGTGTAATTATACCTAAAAAACCAACTTATAACAACACATTACGGTGCTTTGAGGGAGTCCTTATAGAAATGATATCCAAGGCATAAGGATACAAAAGATATTTAAATTAAAAAAATAAAAATGGTTTTCAACGGCTTAAAATACGTAATATTATGAATACCTACTTAATGTTTGATATTTCATAAGTGTCTCGAAATAAAGAGAAATGACATATTAAAGAATATAGTTGCGTCTACTCTTAAATACATACCTATCGTAAGTTTCGAGTCATACAAACCTATCGTAAGTTTCGAGTCATAGTTAAAAATAAATGTACCAACACAGATCGCCTTTATGACTTTGGAACGTGAACTTTACGTAAATGTGAAAATATTTAGAAAATAGTGTTTCTATAGTTTACGCGTGTACACATAATAAAACACTTTAACGTAAAACCGAATATTAGTTACTTGAAATATTTTACTTCGGCCCGCTTTCGGATGCTTTGGAGGGGGGGTGGTCACGGGGAGACTAAAGATGGAGGATGTCTCTGACGTCAAAGTAAAAAATTGCTACGAAGTTAAAAATCATTTTCAATAGTTTACTAATATATCGTTTAACCGTTAAGTGTTTTATTTAAACTAGTGTTTCGTCTGTTCGTTTATTACACAAAAATAACTAGATCGAAAATGCAATTACCTAAATACTGTTAATCTGAAAAAGCATATCCCGCATAGAACCAAAGCTAAAATAGGTAGCGCATCTTGTTTAGATGCTATAGGCCGAGGTATTTCATCTACCATCGAGTGAACTCCATGCTTGCCCGTATTCCTCTATCAAAAAAACCTCCCTTGCATAAATATACTGTCCATTTGCGCTGAAGGAAAACCACGACACTTATTCAAGTTACGCTTGAAATAAGTTAATTACACGTTAATTTGCAAATATTATGTTTATGCTAATAATTTAACCTAGATCTCAAAATCAACAGTAACATGACACGAGAACTGTACGTGACAATTATTATCATCAATCATTGCTGATTGTCCAATTGTTCGTTGGTTTTCGTCAGCTAATAAGTTCGCTGTTACACCAGTATTACAAGGTTATATTGTGCTCCTTCTTTTGGCCTCTTCCCTGTTTGTCTCTTCTTTCTGTCTCAGACTGTGATATCAATAGAAAAAGTGTGTTAATAAAATTTGTAAAGTAAATCTAACCTTATACAGGGGTAACTAATTTTTACATATAACGTTTATTAAAGAGTTACTATTTCTATAAATAGTTCTAATTTAAAAAATTAAATAAATAAGAAATAGAAAAAATGTAAGTCCTCTCTGTCTGTATGTACACGCTTATCTCATATATAGATAAAGCTCTGCTTAGGAAAATATATTGAGTTTGTTTGATTCAAACTCTAACGCCAGTGAACTAAAGCCAGAGTCCTTTAAATATTTTAATATACCTTAGAAAATGATAATCTCGGGTCGAAATATATTTTTTTTTAAATATTACCTCTTGTCTACATTTATTTGAAAGTTTTTTAAAACGTAAAAGAAAAATTCCTGTAAAGTTCTTAATGGTGCGTTGAAATACTCGAATAATTATGTTAATTGTTAAAATTAATAAATATGTTGTGATCCGCGATAATTAGACTAATTGCGCTTCTTGCAAGTCCTGCTAATCATTAGGACAATATCATTGAGAGATCATGCTAATAACCGTAAATAAACTAGCGAGCTTTTTTAAATGGTAATTCTAGATATTTCTATACGTAACTGTCTAACTGGATATACCCACACACAAATTCATTGTCTATAAATGACGATAAGCAATTTTATTTTTAGATTTCCTGTTTCTAAAAATGATATTACGTAAGATGCAATAATCCTGAATATGTTTCGTCTGCGTTATTTATATCAGCACAAATTAAAGTTCCATTAAGTTATTGTAATTTAGAGGTGAAACTAATTCATTCAATTCAAAATCTGTAATTATTTTGTTGTAATAATTCTTAATAAACGTCGAGTATTTAATAAGTATTTCTGGCTCGCTTAAATGAATAACTTAGTAAGCATCCGGTTTGAAGTACAATATTTATGTCGAAGTAATACCTACTTATAAAGTTTAATTGAAAATAATTTAAATTCACTTACATATTTTTTATTAGGCAATTGAAAATATAATATACAAAAGGTAATCATTCATTTTTTTAAAGGGGCTTACTAGCTAAATACAGACAATAAGAACTTATACTAAAAAAACAAATTATTATAAACTTATGAGATAATATGACGATTATGTACCTACATATTTAATTTAAAGGACACTAGGCATATAGGCTATAAAGAAACTAAGATAGGTATAAAATATAGTTATCACGTTTTTCCGGCACTACGGAATTCCTCAAGTATTTTTGAAACATACCTAGTTATAATACCTGTAATATATATTTTCTTGTTCATAGTAATCTGTACTGTCTTATTAATCTCATTTAATAGTACTAAGTAGCATTTTGAGTTACACCTAAAATTGTTGAGTTATATATCTTTAAAATCTGCAAGGCGCCGTAAATGTTTGTATTGTTACAGGTGCAGCCGTGTGTAGTGGATTAGCGCACATAACTTGATTCTGGCACCGAGGGATCAAGTGTGCGATCGCCGATTGAGTAGAAGCCGGTACGGGCAGCGCATACGCCGCCAACTTCACTCCTCCACAACGTGCCGTGCGCGATACGCGTGTCGCTCGCCGCCGCGAAGTTTCGAAATACCCCCTTACCAGTGTCGCAACCATCGGCCACAACAATCTCGTAATCGTGTATCTACCGGATTCTAAATTCGCAATAGTTTTTCTGATCAATTTCACCGAGTGTCCAAGTGTTGAAGCCGCATTCCAAACCGGTGTGCTTTAATGGACGAGTGTACTACTGTGTGTGTTTAGTGACTGGTTTAGTGTCGCCGTGAACTAGTGCTTAGAAAGTTCCCCTCGAGCTTATCCTGGTGTTTCATAATGTAATATTGACTAATAAGAAAAATGGCTCGCGGTAATCCGACTGAGAACGAGCGCAACTGCTTAAACGCTCAAGAACGACAGGACGTAGAAAAACCAAATGCGGATGCGAAGACTAATGTGTTGAGAGTTCGCTTCCTTGATGAGGAAGGAAAAACTGAAAGGACTGTCAGTGCTGACGAAGTGGACAGCGCCGTTACGAGAGTGAAGAAAATTCACATTCTCAAAAATAGAAGCTCCAGCGAAGCGAGTATCCTTCTAAGAAACACTTCCTTGATGAAACGGCGTTCAAATGAGCGCAGGCACAGTGACGGCAATGCCAATATAAACAATAACTCTCTCAGAGAGAATTTGAACGGCAAATGCGAGACAGAAAAGACTGAAGATACCACCAAAGACACTCATTACAGGCGAAATTGCAACGTGTACAGCGTGAATCAGGCGAAAACTCTAACGCCGGAACGTAAACGCATGCCTTTGGCTATTCCCCGTTTGATCAGTCACAAGGAGAATGTGAAGAGTATACTGCCTGCGGAAGTCTGCTTGAGCGATGTGAGTGCTGGGAAGGACTTTACGAGCCGCGCGTTCGGGAAGATTTCCCGCGGCCTGGGGAGATTGCTTCGCCGCACCAACAGTGTCCGCATCAGCGAACCAGACCCTGTTTACAAGGTCGCATACCTCGGCAACGTGCTCACCGGATGGGCTAGAGGTGAGTTTCACTTATATCATTATATGTTTACAAACACTGTTAGAGATAACGTTAACATAATCAGTTTAAATATAGCTACCGCGTCTAACAGTGTTTCAGTCTACACTTTCGATGTTATCATTAATTTTAACGTTCGTAATTTCTCACAAAACTAAACGTTTTGATGATATAAGGTTTTAATACAGCCCTGAGTCTTATTAGACACGCATGAACATAAATCAATTCTTCAAGTTGTTTGTTGAACAATTTTACATAAATCTAAGTGGATTGAAGCCACCTGTTAGTTCTAATTAGGTACGCTTGTACTATCGCACTGTTTCGAAACAAAATCACGTTCCATATCGGAACTCGTTTTTTTAATAGTTATTGCGAGATGTTCACCAAATATTTTGATAGTTTTTGTGTGGCAATTGTTCGTGCCTTATACATACGCGACATTTGATGTTTAAGGTAACCAAATAAATAATAAAAATTTACTGCCTCTATAGCTGAATGATTTAAAGCATTTCTTAGTGTTGCATTACACTCTAGTCGTCCCGGATTCGAAACGGAGATTAACATAGGTAATAGGTATGTCATTGTTTCGGTGGCGGAAAGCACAGCAGTTTAATTATAACTGTGAAGAAAATAGATTAGTGAAATAGACACAAAAAGGTTCTGCTCCATGCTAACGTAACAACAGAATTTGCGTAGATATAATATTTAAATACATTACTGATATCTCACTTGAAATTATTCACTAATTAAATATGAGTATAATACATAAGTAGTGTTTAATTAAATCAGCAAACATAGAAGAGTAGAGAAATCTTGCATGTCGCAGTTTCATTTTACTTCATTCTGTTTACAAGATTAAGGGTTTCATAATACAGTTTTTACTGTAGGTTTAGTGTTTCAGTAACTATACTGGAATGAAGCCTGAGAAAATGTTTGTCTGTACATTGAATAACATATATAATGCCTATCAATTTATTGGGGAAAAGTCCCGGCAGCGGTCATCACAGATTATAAAAAAAAACTTATTAACATTAAGAGGTGTTAAGTTATCTGTATTTCCTATTTATGTAGGCATGCATAAAACAAACAAAGTGTGTGGTACAGACTAAACATAAGGTACAATATTTATACGTTACAGACTAAAACAGAGACAGAAAATCTTTAAATTAACGTACAATTAGATTACTAATATATAAAACAAATATTTTTTTAAGTATTGCTTAAAGTAATTTTGAGCAGGTGACGAAACCTTTAAGTGAAACATGATGGAAGGGTTCTGTATTAGATAAATACTTGTTCATTAATTTTCATTATATTCGTGTACATACACGTAGAAAAGTGTTGAAAAAAGAAAGGCTTTTTTTGATTCATTATCAACAAAGTGAGACCACCTTGGCGCAGCGTTACATATCTTTACAGCGTAACTTTTAAAACCTGTGGTGTTTAATTAGAAAAAAAACCCTCATTTAAATGTTGCTGAAAGACACATTTCCTTACAGACGAAGTAATGATCAAAAGCTAAATTGTAATAACTCGTGAATGCTTTCAAATAGATTCTGAAAAGAAGTCTGTGCAATCTCACTGAGCTCCAGTTGTTTGTTTTTTGTTTGCTTCTTGAAATTTATATTGACTGCGTTTAAGAAACTGCCAAGTTGTTTATTTTATGTCTTAATAACACAGACTGTATTGATGACTGTGTTAGGCAATTAGGTAATGCCCTAGTCATATTATGACAACGAAGGATATTTTATTGAAGTTTTGTTTTACGATATTTCTTTATTCGAAAATTGGATTCTTAAACCTAGTATTACTTACTTTTTAACCACTTCACATCTTACATAAATTTTTCTTTCGCCTCTTTTTGTCTTAAGAATTGAATTCGGTATATCATTATCTACGGGTCGGAAGATCAATCCCGACCGTTTGCACATGTTTCTGATCAACTTATATTTTTTCTGAATCGTGTTGGACTTCGTCTGGAAATCTAGATGTTAAATTGGTGTTAATAATGCCTTCCAGGTCACGAACCACCGTTCCAAGATGTTAAAGCCATGAAGTATGATTGCGTTCGGATTTTGTGTGTAGATTTCCGAATATCCAAAGTCAAGATAGGTCGTAGCGTTTTCATCAAGTGAATGCTTGTCTGTCTTATAAAAAGTAATATTTCGTTAAATTGATATCAAATTCGACCTTAAAAATGACGATAAGGTCTATCGCAAATTACATTTTATCGTTGTCTTTCGTAGTTGATTGTTTTATTAAAGATTAAAAAGAGCACTGAACACTGAAAGCCTAGTGATTGTTTGAACGAGGATGTTTAAATCGAAATAAAACAGAGGAACTGCATGTAAGTAGTTCAAGGCGTCTTCATCTGACCAAAACGACTCGTTCTTCATTAATAGGGCTGATAGTAATCTTTATAATAATTATAATTTACAAATAGATACAAATTGCTGCGAGTATTTATAATCCTAATAATTTTTTTCATTTATTTATTTATATTTTGGTTTCTTTACATGCTGTCTTTGTAACATATCTATATAATATCAGTTTTGTCAGTAGTTTACGCGGGTACTTACTTTGTACACTGTTAATTAAACCACTTTTACTGTTTAAAACGCGAAAGGTATTAGTTACATTAGTTTCGATAAACCAAAAATCCTTGAGTCAGTTCTGCAAAGACCCAGCCAGATTCACCAAACCACTACGACGGAAGAGATGGCGTTAAAGTAGCAGTTCCGTCACCCTCCATCTTCAGTACCCCGTGACCTTGACTGCTGCAAAGCATCCGAAACGTCCGTAATAAAAAATATTTGTAAATAAGTCAACTAATACATTTCGTGTTTTAAACCGTAGAAAGTGTTTAAATTAACCCTTTGTTCACTTCCAGCTTTGTACAAATGTAAAAAGATTGTTAATATAGGCTCATAAGTTTCATATGAAACGAGTCTTTTATTTATTCACATATAAGACTAGAATGCAAGTCTAGTCCTGTTAATATTTATACCATCAGAATGCATTAATAATTAATTCCTTCTTTTTATTACTTTTTAATGAATATTCGACAGCCCTAATAGCGAATGATAAGACTTAATTAACTTAAGCATTAACTGTCCTTAAAGTAATGTTTAGTAATAAGACTAATTATTAACGATGACGTATTTAATATCATTAATGAAATTGTGCTCACAAGAACTACAACGATCTATTTGATAGCTATTGATGCAAATATAAGACATGCAGAATTATTGTATGTAGTTTACGCAAGTGGAAAAGGCTATACAAATTAGTTAACTTATTTGTTTTACATGTACTAATGTGTATGCACATAATATGTAGATCAGAAAATAGTAATTTTAATACTTTATGAAGTATGTACCTAAATGAAAAAGAAAGATTCCAATTTGGTGCACACTAAAATTATTTTTATTAGTATATTAATATTTTTGAGCGTTCGAGGGTCCTAAGAAAGCATTTTGGATATACATAACAAATTTTTAATAGTTTGGTCAGGTAGGTCTCAGAAGTATTGACAACTTAGCCATGATAAAATCAAAACAGGCACACAAATGTGTCTGCCTTACCATCCATATTAGGTTCTTTATATCTTACATACAGCTTTTGCTGCCTTGGTCAGGAGCAGGGGGACGTGCTACTGTAAACCATCCGAAACATATTGGTCCTTCGTTAAAAGAAATTGGAAACAAAGTAGCTAATAATTTCGCGTTTTAAACAGTTAAAATTGTTTTATGTAATAACTCTCACAAACTACAGACAGCACTTAAATTCTAGGTTTAATTTGTAATAATTTGCCATTTTGCAAAGTCTAGCGACTTCCGTTGCAATATGCAGCTTTTAAATTAGAAATTCTGTCATAATCCATTGCAAAACTAGATTGCTTTGCTCTATTAATATTTCAATATATCTTTGAAGAATATTTAAAAGTTAACCAGAGCGGAGCTGTGCCTTAGGACTCGTTTAAAATGGCACAAAGCGATTGTTTGTTGCTATTACTAATATTTAGATAAAAACATTAGTATTTGTTTTCTGTTAATGTATTATAAAGTTTTATAGAACTGACCGGTTCTGTTCGTTAACTGCCCAAAAACCAGGGCTGGGATCTCGAGAAACGTAAGTTACCTACGGTTCTCGAGATCGTCTCGACGGGCAGGACACAAAAGTCTACCACTCATCAGTAAAGCAGATACATAAAAATATCAGTCTCGTGGGGAAACGGGATTTTACTTCTTACTTTCGAACTTTAATATAATCCTCAATGTAAAACGGTTTAAAACGCGAAGTATATTAATTAACTTGTTCATAATTAATCTTAAAACTTGTATAGTTTACTAAACTATTTTGCGTTTTGAACAGTTATACAATATGCGTTAACTACAGACAATACAAAATCCAATATTCAATTGCTGTCGTTTAAATCTCTATTTGTCATAACAAGAATTTTACCTCCAATAACGAAGCCTTCATTTATGGCTAATTAAAATAATGGCACAATATTTGTTTGCTATGGACACATGTTATCGGTTAACCATTTGTATTCAATGACTCAATAAATATTATGTCATCGTTAATTATGTGTTAACAAGGACGTGATTGTGTTTTGTTTTAATGTGTTTTACAGGTGTTCGTTCTTAACGTTTATAGCAATTTTAATTTGTTTGTTGGGATTGTTAAGACGTTCATAAATATAATGCTCAACTACACGTAGACGGATGCATCTGCGGACGTTGACGCGTCAGGTGAATCTTTACTAGCCGTCGTTGTTTGCGGATGGAATCGGCGGACGCGTCCGGCGACGTGTAGACACTGGCAGTCAATAAATTCTAAAGAAGTTTTATTATACAAAATGCTATTGACACTCTCTATGGAAACATACAAATACTCGTGTAGAACAAAAATATATGAAATAGGATGTGTAAAATGCGCACTGTTTTGTGAAGTCGGGAGCTCAAACCCCGGTTGTGAAATAAATGTGTATTTTTGTG